AAAAAAAAAAAAAAAAACAGGAAAGGGAATCATGGAAAATAAGCAAAAAAGGAAACGAAAATTATATTATGTAAAACTACATATTATGATTCCATTTGTTTTAATGTGTGTGTGTGCACACACATAAATCAGAAAAAAACTACTATTTGTATCTCTATTTAGTAACCTATAGGGACTCTTGAAATATTAAATTAGAAAAGCAAACACAGAAGCAGCAAGTAAATGTACACAGTATGATACTTTTTGGTAAAAAAAAAAAAAATTGAATCCCTATACATGTGCATTTGTATCCCTTTTATTAATTTACATGAGCAAGATGAAGCTCCAGAAAGACTCACAGGAGGCAATTATTATTAGTTTCCTCAGGAGATTGCGATTAGGTTGGATAGAGATTAACAGGGATAAACTCCTTCATATATTTGTATTGTTTCACATGTTACAACACCTATCACGTAAAAGACAGCAAATAAAATGTATTAAAACATTAACCTATCTTTAACAGTCATGTAGCTCTTTGTGGGAAGAAATATGAAGCAAAAGGAATTTCAAATCTTTACCACTCTATTTCCATCTTCTTGGGTCACTTGGATATGAAATTGCTCAATATCTTCAAAAAAGAAACAAAAAAAGATCATTTTATCTTCAAGAAAAACATGAGTACTTTTTTCATATAATATGAAGTCATGTACAAATTTTTATTAAAGTAATGCAGATTAGAGCCAGCGGGTGGTTGGGACCAGCAGTTAAGTGTAATGGCTATGTCACTGGACTCCCACATAGTCGACCGTGGTTTGAGTCCTGGACCCGGTGGCTTAAAAGTCACGCCGGGCACGTGTGCATGCCTGCCCAAGATCCCGAGAGGAGAATGGAGAAGGGATTGCGGCGTGGCCATCCCCGCTGGGGAGTGATTTCTCGCTTTCTATCTCTCTGTCTGGCGAGCGCATGTACCCTATAGCAAAAAAAAAAAACCTCTCCAAAAAAAAAAAGAAAGAGCCAGCGAGTGGGTGCATGTGCTCATGTGCTCATGTGCTCATGGTGGTTAAGGCACTGGACTCCCACATGGCTGACTGCAGCTCAAGTCTCAGACTCTGTGGCTTACTTTTTTACTTTCCCTCTCTCTCTGTCTTTCTCTGGTGAGTGGAAGTGCCCTACAGCAAATTTTAAAAAACATATATTAAGTAAAATTAAGTAAACTGTTATTTCTTAAAAAGCAATGCATATTAAACAACTGGCTACAAAACATTACCACAGATAGTAACTTCATAATAGAGATTTTAAACATACATACACACATCTTTCTTCATTCTCCCTTTAAAGTCCATTTCAAAGTCTGTACTTATTCTGTTCTTCAGTATCAACAATTCATGCATGGTTCCCTCAACAAGTATTTGTCCCTTCTATATCATCAGTCTCATACAGGGTTGACAAGGCTCATTTAACAGAGTTTATGTACTTTCAAATACTGAACACTTATTTGAGTGAACATTTTGTATAGAAAACACATCATATAAAATATGTGGAAACAGCATATTTATAAATCTCAAGTTCACACTAACAAAATCTTAACTAATTAAAGTAAAAGTTTACATGGTCCTTTTATATTAGTAAGCAGTTCAGCTTCTTCCATACTTAGCTTCTGCCAGTTCTAACAAAATTGTGGGACAGGCAATTGAACAAGAGCATTGATATTGAACATAATAGGGACCAGCAGTTTGCGTAATGGCTATGTCGCTAGACTGCCATGTAGTCGACTGCGGTTCAAGTCCTGGACCCGGTGGCTTAAACTTACACTGGGCATGCATGCGTGTGTGCCCAAGATCCCACGAGGAGAATGGAGGAGAAGGGATTGTGGAGTGGCCATTCCCCCTTGGGGGGGGGTGTGCTTTCTTTCTTTCTGTCTCTCTGTCTCTGTCTTTCTGGCAAGCACACATGCCCTATAGCAAAAACCTATCCAAAAAAAAAAAAAAGATTGAATATAATAAACCTAACTTCTCAGGCTTGCCCTTCCAATTATAAATCAATAGTGTCATCTTGTAGCATGAAAGACAGCTTGCTAGATAAGTTTCACTAGTTAATTCTGTCCTTCTTTCCAAACTTGAAAACATAATGAAAGGATATAGCTTTTTTGTCCCAACCTTATTTGCCTCTACCTGAATTTGACTAAGTTCATATGTGTTCTCAAGTCCCATACGGAATTCATATACCTGCTAAACCCTTCCATTCTCTCTACCCAACTCCCTCTCCTTGCATCATTAATATCCACTGTGACAGACGTTTTAATGTAGGATGGACTAGAGAAGGTAAAAGTGACCTGTACAGTTATTCTAACGATCATCCTATTATGTGACAAAATTAGAAATCTGTCTATGCAAGAGCCTATCACTCCCAAGATGAGGAAACTGAGCAAAGTGTGAGGGGACAACACTTGGGGGCCAAAGAAGAAACCCTTTCACAAGAATTCTAGGTCTTAAATGGACATCAAAGATAAGTGGACCTGGGGCCAGCAGGTGGTGTGGTGGTTGGGGCACTGGACTCCCACATGGCCAACAGTTATTATAGTCCCAGACATGGCAGCTTGCTTTCTCACTGTCTGTCTGTTCCTCTCTGGTGAGGGCATATGTCCTATAGAAAATTGAACACAATAATAATAATAATAAATAAAACTAAGTAAATATTTAAAAAGTGGACCCTTGGTAATGGCAAGCAGACATCTACAAGACACGATCATATCCCACTCTTCCATAGGGGACTATGTACCATTCAGGAAGACCCCATATTCCTCTAAAGACACACTTACATTTCTCTTCTGAAATCAGTAAGAGATGGTTCTCTGGAAGAGGATGACTTTCAACATATGGGTAGAGGAACTGTAAAAAGGAAATTTATCAAAATCAAAGCAACAACCTTGCTTGCACAAGTATTTCAGAGTTATGTTTGGTCACTGTACAACTATGTACCAAAGAAGGGACTGGGAACCACAGAATAGTTTAGGAGAATCACAAATATGCACATATCACAGGTCAAAGCAGGAGAAAGGAAAACTTTCAGGGCCTTAGTTTTCCAGGGAGAAATCGATCTCAGGCACAACATTATCACCATTAATTTAAAACAGTAAGGCCAAAATTAAACTATTTCTAGGAATGGTACTTTGTAGTTAGAACATTTGTCTCTGAAATCAATCAGAAGCAATGCAAATAACAATTTATACAGAATGTTCTCGTTCCCACAAAGAGTGGTCAATACACTTGTTGTGCAACTAAGTCTAGTATATAATTTGAAAGCCAAGTAAACACACTCCCCACTACAACTTCCAAAGTCCCATATCCAAGAGACAAAATACAGCATAAACAGGGACTTTCCAATAAAGGACAGTGAGTCACAGTGTGGTATGTGGTTGACGGTTTATAAGCCTCAAAGCATAGAATGACTGCCCCTGGAAGAAAAGGCTTAATCCACACCATCCCTCCTCCAGTGTGTATTCCAGCAACTCTGTATCTTCCCATAGGACAAAGCAGGCAACAGGCAACATAAGGCCTGATCTGTCAGCTGTGATGAGGGAAAACTGGCCATGGGATGACTCCAGTGACTTAATTCTTTCATCATTAAAAACATGACTATAAATCAGACATCTAATTTTGTAACATGAAAGGCAACTTATTAGATAAGACCCACCTAGTGAATTTTCGTTTTTTCCCCTAAAACTCGAAAGCATTATAAACAGCATTATAATCTTTTATGCCCCAATTTTATAGTCACCAGCCTCATTACAACCTAGGAAAAAGTTTTTAATTTGCTAATGGCTCCATGCACTTCCCAGAAAGAGACAGAGAATGAAAGTGAGAAAACACACACACACACACACACACACACAGTTTCTCAAACTGCTGGGCTGACTTGAACCACACAGTCAGCCATGTGGGATGCAACCACCTCCACCACCATGCCACAGGATGGCCTGGAAAATTTTTGATAAAATATATTACATGGTATCCTAACTTTATTGTGATAAACTGGAAAAAGGACCGGTCAATTTTTAAAGTATTTACAGTTGAGTTTTCTTTTTAGACATGAAAAACAAAATATTAACTACATATACCATTCTTTACATCAATAACCTTAAAATTATAAAACAGAATACAGAATTTAGCTATAAAAATAATATAACTAATGATCTCATGATTGTGAATTGTGCATATCAAACAAGAGACTTTGTCTACTGGGGTTGAGAAAAAGCAGAGGTAAGTGGAACCACATATACAAAGGTACTTCAAAAAGTTTGTGGAAAAATGGAATCAAAGTATGATCTTATTTTGGTGCAATCTGTGATGGTTTTTTCATAGTATGTATTTTCCATCAACTCTTCCTTAAAAATTCACTATAGATAGCACATGTACACTCATGCATGCAAAAGAGCCAGAGATGGAGTGAGAAAGAGGAGTACCCTTGACAGTTTTATCACACCCAGATTCCCCCTTTCCCAAGCCCTCCAGCTCCTCAGGTTCGCATGCTGATGCACATTCAGTATTTTTTTCAGGCTGACCCAGATATCCGAAGCCATGGTCAGCCATGTGGCTTCTATCACTGCAACCCAGTATGATACCAGCTGTGCCACCAAAACTAGATTTCCATGAATTTTTTTGAAGACCCAGTCTATAATAGGAGAGTTTATGCTCAGTTCCTGAAAATAAGGAGATACTCCACAAAAGGTAAGGTAAGGTCTACAGAAGTGGCCAGGGAATGACTGTTTAGGTTCATGACATAAGGCTGACTTGCTCAAGAGCTGGAATCTTCAACCGCTATACCTCTGCCTGGTCTTTGCATGGCAATCAGGGAGAACATGAATATTTTTTAAAAGGATTATTTACTTTGAGGCCAACAGGTGGTGTAGTGGTCAAAGCACTGGGTTCCCACATGGTCAACCATGGTTCAAGTCCTAGACCCGGCAGCTTGAAAGTCATGTTGGGCACATGGTGCATGCATGCCCAAGATCCCAAGAGGAGAAGGGATTGTGGTGTGGCCATCTCCCTAGGGGGTGATTTCTTGCTTTCTGTCTCTTTAGCAAGCACATGCACCCTATAGCAAAAATTTCTTTAAAAAAAATTGTTTATTTATTATTATTTTCAAGCTTGTTATATGGCACACATGCTCACCAGAAAGGTGGGGAGAGTAATAAAGCAAGCTGCCAGGTCCAGGACTCAAACCAGGGTTAACCATATGGGAGTCCAGTGCCCCAACCACCATACCACCTGATGGCCCCAAGAAAATGAGTGTTAAAATCTTATTTAGGCAGGTGTTTCATTTTTGTTTTGTTTTAGTTTTTGCTACATGGTGTGTGCACTTGCCAGTGACAGAGAGAGAGAAGGTGAGTAATCACCGCCCCCCTCCAACCCCAGGAAGGAGTACTATACCACAATCCCTTCACCTCCATTCTCCTCTCAGGATTTTGGGCACTCATGCACACATGTCCAGTATGTATTTCAGTTTTTCGAGTAACAGGATCCAGGACTCGAATCACATGTTGGGCCATGTGGGATCTAGTACCTTAACCTCCATGCCACCTACTGGCCCACAGTGTTGTTATCTTCTATTAGGAGGTAGCCCTAAAGCAAGGCCAGGAGGCCAAAAAATAAATCGACAGACTATAGACACAGCTCTGCAAAAGCATTCAAAGTGGCTTATCCCATTCTAAGTAGGTGTCTATACAGATTATATCTAGAGAAATAGATATCTTCACAAATATGAAGTTATACTCGGAAAATTAAAATTCATTTTGAAGAGGAATGTAGTATAGATGTATAGAAGAGTGTGTAATTGCCCATTAGAACTATCTGGAAGATGCAACTCCTACTGGTAAGGAACTCTCAGAAGCTACCAGATTGGGATCCAAGCACCACCCACCACTGTCCTGCTCAAGTGCCTCTGGGAAGGTGGTCAGGACTGTACAGACAGCCCCAAATGCATGGCAGAGTTAATACTAGCACCTTGCAATGCTGGAATCCATATGGTGACTGCAGTTAAGATGCCCCAGTTCTACCTGAAAAGCATGCCAAGTAAGTGGAGGGGCCCAAGATTCTGAGGAGGTGGGAGGGTCAGGGAGGAGGGAATCATAGCATGATGAGACTTTATCAAGGATGATTTCTTTCATCATGCTTTCTATCATTTGGGGTGCAGGGGGAAGACTGCACAGACTAAGGGAAATGTACTACTGGTAATCACCATGGATATCTTAGTAAGAACAAAGGTAGGTCCCAGGACAAGACCAAACGCAGTGGACAGTGGATGGCATTTCTCAGGGAGGGAGTAGTGATGGATTTTTCTATGGATAGAGGTTTGGAGTAGTTCTTCTCTCCAAATACATAAGAGTAAAGAACAGGGCCTGGATCTGAGATGGGGGAGCCCAGAATGAGTATAGGTTTTATTTGACTGGAGTGGGGACTTTTTCTTTGGCCTATAGGTGGTGTCATCTGTCACGTACTTTTTAAAAATTGAGATAAAATTCACAGAGCATTCAAGTGGTTAAAATCGCATTTTAAGTGCACACTTTTCAGTAGTTTTTAATATATTCACAATGTACCATGTAGCTTTAAACACTTCTTTGCTTCCTATGATCAAATTCCCCTCAACTGCCCTAGTCCTTCAATAATGTCTCCATCATCTAGATGTTGAGGAAGCCAAACAACAGACCAGAATGAGAAGCATATTCTATTCCAGCACTGATGGTAGTATAGACAGGGTGGCTTCCTGTGGAGGGGCACTGCAGCGTGGGATCTCCAGGCCAGGCCTTGTATGAAAGCAAGCAGTGGTCTATAGTGGAGCCGGGAGTGGTGGGGAAAATGCACAATTGCAAGGATTGAGTGGCAGTGAAGAACCCATGGCAGACATCTCACTCGGCTAACAGACTGGTAGAAGACTACCCACCAGCTGAGTCTGGAAGGAGCAGGAGGCAGACACTTCAGATGATACAAATTGACTCCAGGTAGACCAAAAGAAGTGATGCTTTGACCTTACGGTGAGTTATGAAATTAGGCATGAGGAAACTATGCTGTCACACTGCATGAACACATATGGTCTGTTCTTATTTGTAGTGGTTATGTCTATAAAGTCACCACAAACACTGTGTACTAGTACTGAACCATTGTGTCTAGAGGAAATACGAGTTCCTCCACACCTGTCATATTTTGGCAAACAGATCAATACATAACCTTGTTTTATGTGTGTTTCTGTTTAAAAATACTTTATTCCATATATACTATTGATTTATTAATATTGAACTCATGGCCAACATGAGCCACTCATGCCTGAATGAAGCTTATCTAACACACACGACTCTCCTCCATAAGGCATATCACAGCCTTCTTACACTTAGATATGCTAGGCTGTACTTCAGCACTACACTTGGGGACCATTTTAAATAGACTCATCAGCAAAAAGCACAAAAATTAGAAAAATAAGGCATTAGACCATGAAAACAACACTCATTTATAATGAGAGCTAAAACAAGGTAAAAATTGCCTTTTTTGACCTCAGTTGTGAACTCGAATTTTCACCACCACTCAGCACATGCCTGCAAATGACTGGGAAAGCACCATGATTACTAGTTCTGGGGTTATAAATGTTAGCAAGTAGGATAATTTGCACAGGATCTACCACAAGGAGGGTCAGCTGCATCTGGTCCAATCTGTATTATGCACTGCTTCTTCATCATTTCATGAAGTTGATAAACTCAGGGATTAATTACATCACTTAATCAGAAACATTTCATCTGTCAACCATGTGAACACATTAAATAAATCATTTTAAAACTTAAAAATACAATGCGTATTTGTTATTTTATCATAAAAAAATTATATTACTATCAGATAAACCATAGTGTGATAGAGTTGCAGGAGCTAAATTTGAGTTCTTAATTTCCAAGTTAGCCAAGGTAGAACTGATACCGTTTACAAGATTGCTTTGAGGATTAAATGTGATAATGTGTATAAAAGAATTTTGTAAATACTATTTCCTCTAGGTTTTGAGCCTTTGATTAATAGATAAGTGATAAATGACACATGCTTTACTTACCTGTACCCAAATATAGCTATCCACTGCTTTTAGGACCTTCACGTTATTCACGGGGTGGATTTCAACTAACAAAGTTAAGCACTTTGATCCTAGAGAAAAGAAGGCTTTAGTTAATGAAGATTAGAGTATAACACATTTTCTTTTCCTTTTGGAGTAGGAAGAGGAATTTTAGCAAATCCTATTACATTGACACTAAGCTAACAAAACAATCGTATCATCAAAGTCCCTTGAGGTGACTTAAAGTGAAATCCTATCCCCACTTTCACTCTTAAGAGCTCTGTGGTGGCTCTAGGGCTCCAAGAGCAATCAGCTAGAGCATTGCCTACCCCACCCTGAGGAGCCCTGGAGAAGCTTCACTGTGAAAATCACAGGACACTCGAGAAATGCAAATGCGAAAAAGGAACTTTTTGAGCAGCCCTGGTAACAACAGCAGTCACTGTGAGACGATTTTCAGGTTTTAAGAATTCCTTATAGAAAAGCATCATATTTAAAGCGGCTTCCCAAAGAGATATATCATTTTATACTTTCACCAGCTACGTATGAAAGCTTGCGGGACAAACTGGATTCTAATGGTATCATTTCTCCCTCAACTATCATGATTCCACAATTTGCAAATCAGGCCAGTCTGAGCTTTAACAATGTAAGTATATTACCTACTATATCAGCTGCTCCCCCAAAATAAGTCATTTTCTTAAAGTTTAATGCTTCACTTCAAGTTTAACTTTGACAGTTCGTAAAACCCAAAATAGATACAGAAAACATCACAAAAGAGAAGTCGATGTGCATGGAGTGAGGAACAAGTTCCTGCCCATTTCTCAGCCATTTTTAGCATCGCTACACAGGCCCTCTAGGCTTCAAAGTCTAAATAAACACAAGTCAGTGTCACTCCGATTCTGTAGCACAATGGCAAATATTGTTCATGTAGAAAAACACAAAGATATTTCTGGTGCATGAACATGTTATAGCTGTCAGTACCTATCAGCAGGACAGGGGCTGGGTTTCCCTCAGGGACCATGGTAGAGCTGTGCTGATAATGACCCACTTATTTCCTCAGTGTCACATCCAACAAATGTCACAGAAGATAGCAATTAGGAGGAAGTCTGTGGATGTGGGCTGGAATGAGGTTAGCACAGATATCCAAATTTAGGTCAAAGATGCCCCTCGCCACTCACCCACCCACCCACACACACACAAGATTACATCTCAGAAAAGGAGGACTTGCATTTTATTTGAATTCCTATTAAAACTAATACGATTAGGTGCTCCCTCAATTACTTTGTTCTTAATCATTTATTGTACAATTTGGGCATGACACAGCAGCCTGGAATTAAATCAGTGGCAGTTCTCACTATTTAAGAAAGTAAGTTGACAGCACTGCCTTATTAAAGGAAAAAAGGCAACGAATAAAAAACAATTTCTGGGATGTGGCCTAACAGTTGCGAGGACTAGGTATCTCTGGACACATGCCTTTTAAAGATTGCTTGAAAAAGCAACTCAGGGAGTAATTATGTGGAATCATCAATATACACCTACAGAACAAAAATCATGTATTTAGTAAATGTGTGCTTGTAGCTTAGAATAAAAATTCTAGTTACAAGATCATACACCAATTCAAAAGGTTGTATTTCTAACATGTAGGATAGCGGTTAACAGCGAGGTGCTTGGGAATCTCCTTGATGACTCAAAAAGTGGCTCTAGGGAACCAGCAGTTAGCGTAATGGCTATGTCGCTGGACTCCCATGTAGTCGACCACGGTTCGTGTCCCGGACCCGGTGGCTTAAAACTCATGCCGGGCGCGTGTGCGTGCGTGCCCAAGATCCCGAGAGGAGAATGGAGGAGAAGGGATTGCGGCGTGACCATCCCCCCCTGGGGGGTGATTTCTCGCTTTCTGTCTCTATGTCTCTCTCTGTCTGTCTGGCGAGCGCACGCACCCTACAGTGAAAATCTCTCAAAAAAAAAAAAAAAAAAGTGGCTCTAGAAATAAGACAAAGGCATTTGTAAAAAAAATAAAAAAGAAAAGAAAAAAAAAGAAAGAAATGTTTTGTGATGTATGAGAGTTAGGAGGGAAAAATAGTTTTCCTAATCAATATTTTAAATGTATGTGACTAAATTAATATATTAAATAGTACCAGCTGACAGTTGACTGCTTTATCTTTTGCCCTAAAAATTTATATATTCCAACTGGGAAAAAAAGGTGGGGGGAGAGGCAGGTAAAAATAGGAAATGACCTTATATTTCATCTTTTTAATATGAACCTAGATAACCACCTAATCAACTGAATTCTCTTAACTTTAAAATGGGGTGAACTTTCAAAAGGGAGAAACCATTCCTACATTAATATTTTCTTCTCTAATGCAGTCCAGACATTTAATTAATAAAACTAGCATCATGATAATAAAATTTTGTAAACAAGAGTTTCTCTCAATAACATACCATGTGCTTTCACAGTGAAACAGAAACTGTTCTGGATTAGGATGCTAGAGATGTCAGTTCTAGTTTCAGCGCTAATACTTACCTAAAATATACTGAAAAGTATATATTATATATATTAGGTATAAATCAGTATATATTAGGTATATATTATATATATTAGGTATAAATCAGTATATATTAGGTATATATTATATATATGAGGTATAAATCAGTATATATTAGGTATATATTAGGTATATATTATATATATTAGGTATAAATCACCAAGCTTTCCCAGGCCTCAAGGTCTTGTTATTAAAACATAAAATGGGGGAACGAGCAGTTAGTGTGATGGCTATGTTACTGAACTCCTAGGTAGTCAACCGTGGGTCAAGTCCTGAACCTGGAGACTTAAACTCACACCAGGCACAACTGTGTGTGTGCCCAAGATCCCTAGAGGAGAATGAAGGAGAATGAAGGATGGCTTGGCCATCCCCCCTGGGGAAGGATGATTTATCATTCTCTGTCACTCTGTCTTTCTGGTGAGTGCACACACCCTATAGCAAAAACCTCTAAAAATTTTAAAAAATAAAATAAAATGGGGCTAGCCCAATAACCTAGTAATTAGGGAAGCCTGTTCCCGCATGGCCAGCTGCAACTTGAATCCCAGTCCCGGTGACTTGAAAAATACACTGGGTGCATATAGGTACCTGCCTAAAATTCCAACAGGACAAATAAATAGGGGAGAAGGGACTGGGGTATAACCATGCTCCATTGAAGATATTTTCTACCCTGTCCCACCCACATCTGTCTGTCTATCTCTGGCAAGTAATGCATCCACTATCAATAAAGAGAGAAAAAAAGAAAAACTACAGAACAAGAAAGAGAAAAAAGCAAAAATCTACAGAATCAGAGTTTTTTCTACAAATCATTTTCATGTGTAAAATCCCATGAAGTGCTAACCACATATTAAGAATTTAGAAAATCTGGGACCAGAAGTTAGTGTAATGGCTATATCGCTGAACTTCCATGTAGCCGACCGCGGTTTGAGTCCCGGACCCAGTGGCTTAAACTCACGCCGGGCGCATGTGCATGTGTACCCAAGATCCCGAGAGGAGAATGGAGGAGAAGGGATTGCGGCGTGGCCATCCCCCTGGGGGGTGATTTCTCACTTTCTGTCTCTCTGTCTTTCTGGTGAGTACATGCGCCCTATAGCAAAAACCTCTTAATAAAAAGAAAAAAAAAAAAGAAAGAAAGAAAAAAAAAGAATTTAGAAAATCAAGTTCTATCGGTAGTGGGAGTGAAGAGCAGACCCCAGAGAGCCCTGAGCAGTCTCACCGCCACCAGAGCCTAGTTACCGTCACACCCCAGAGCTGCAACTGCCACAGCCAGCCCGTCACCACCACTGTAACCCTGAGCAGCAAGGCCAAGATCCAGTAGCCACCCACCAGGGCTGCCCTCAGGGCTGGTGACACCAAGCCCCCAGCAGCAGGCAAGGAATGGTGGCCCAGGTAACATGACAACGGCACACCTGCCTGTGGGGACAAGAGTATCACAACAAAGTTTTGGGAACAGTAAGATGGTTCAATGTAAGAAACGGATATGGCTGAATCAACAGGAGTGCCACCAAAGGAGATGAATTTATACACTGGACTGTCGTTAAGAACAACAACCCCAGGAAGTACCTTCACAGTGTAGGAGACGGCGAGACTATGGAGTTGGATGTTGGAGAAAAGGGCGCAGGCAGAGGCAGATGTTACAGGCCCTAGTGGAGTTCTAGTTCAAGGCAGTAAATACGCAGGACCATAACCATTATAGACACTATTCATGTCATAGGGGTCCTCTTCACAATTAATCACAAAATTACCAGAGCAGTGAGAGTGGGGAAATGAATGAGGATCGGAGAGCACCGCCTAAGGCCAGGCTCAACAGTGCTGATTCTCCTGTGAATGAAGGTCCCCCTTCCCCTGTTACCACACGTAGAGACCCTATGGGTGTCAACCACAGTATTCCAACCCTCCTGTTCAGGCAAAAGTGATGGAGGGTGCTGACAACCAGGGGGCAGGAGAACAAGGCAGATCAGTAAGGTAGAATATGTATCGGATCATAGACCACGATCTCATAGGGGCTCTCTCCATGCCAGACAGCCCAGAGAGGAGGGTGGTGAAGAGAGTAAGAAAAATCAAGAGATGAGACCAAGGTAAGCGGCCACCTCAAGGTTGGTACCATTGCAAATTCAGTTACTGATGCAGACGTCCAGAAACCCCTACACCACAAGATGGCAAAGAAACAAAAGCTGCCGATCCACCAGCTGGGAATTCCCCATCTCCAAGACTGAGCAGGGCAGGGCTGAGTAAATGCCATTTTACCATCTCTACCATCATCCTCTTTATTCATCCAACAAGAAGGGAATATTAAATTCCAGCAATAAGAAATGAACAAAAGATTGGTGCTGAGGACCTTAAGTGCTTGCCTTTTTTTTTTTTCTGCTTTTTTTTTTTTTTTTTTTTTTTTTTTTTCTGCCTGTTGACCAGATAACTAGAATTCTGGTTTATCTGTGCAGCATAGAGTTTTTATTATTTTTACCTAAAAGATGTCTTTTTGGTAATGATGAAGTATGCTAAAAGATTTTATTCATTCGTTCATTTATTTATTATTTTTTCACATTAGTTTTGCC